CAATTGATGCTGAAGTAGTAAAGTATATTTTAGTTATAGAAATAGTAGTTAAAGCAGTAACAGTAACAGCAACAGCAACAAAAGCAGCAGAATAAGTATATATGTGAAATATGAGTCATATAGTTATAGATAGGTTTTGTTTCACATACATTTATCCCCACGACATTATCAGACCTCCGAGACAGTGGCTATGTTAATGTAATAGAAACATATCACATATCACTAACGTGTATTGTACGTAGTAAAACAAGATTACAAAAACGCCTGAATAACAATTACATTAAATAGAATGTAATTGGATACCAACGTTTGTGTGAGACATTGGGGAAGGATTTGTTTAATGTGTGTTATTCTTGGATGATTAGAATGATAGACATTATTAAACAAACAGGCAGAGGGTTTTTACTGAAGACATTGTAATTTAAAAAGATTGACAGAAAAAGCATGAGCAGTTTTGGGCTATTTAAGATATAGTCTAATCTCGTTATTAACAATGGCCATTTCTTATATCACTTTTATCTCGAAATTGAAGTTCGGTCGACTGGAAGATTAGATTTAACTAAGTTTTCTCGAGTTCCCCGTATTATTTAAGGGTTTCTCGACGACTTCGACGTAACATAATTTCAATTTATTAGACAAATCGAAAACACTACAGACTCTAGTACATCCGCTGCATACCTCGATCTTTACATACATGACCAACAGGTACGGTTTACTACTAAGATGTATGATGGATGTGATGAGGGTGATTATTCAATTGTGAAATTCTTTTATCATAACATACCTGCTTCCAGGTATGTTTTTCACGTATCGCTGTTGGTCGGATATCAACGGGCCAGCTCCAAATATAACGATTTTCGTGATAGATGTCGAATGCTGACGGAAATTCCTTACACAAGCTGTGGATAGATGCATATCGCTGAAGATTTTAGACAATTATCACAGTCGCTATCATGAACTTACGTGGTGAAAATCAATTGTCTCGTAAGATATTAATTACCCCCTTTTTTCAACTAATTAGTGTGCCGTTCATGTTTGCTGCCACTACTCTGGTTCATATTTTGAGATTTACATCGTGCCTGTCATCATTTAAGCTTACCCTTCCGGAACACCTGGCCTTATTATAATTTTAACGATCTCCGTGAACATTTATCCTGAGTTCATAATTTGTACAAGTTTTAATAGCTGCCTTAAGTACCAATTCTCTATAAAAACGAGTATCTGGCTAAATTGGTATTTTCAATCTTTCAACCAAATTTGACAAAAGCTGCAGGCAAAAAAAATGTATGTTTATCTGATTTTTAGCTCACCTGGTCCGAGCTTATGTCTTACCGCAGCGTCCGTCGTCCGTCCGTCGTCCGTCGTCCGTCAACTTTTCCGTCATGAACGACTGAGCAGATTTTGACCACATTTAGTCAGAAACATCCTTGAGAGAAGGTGAACAGATTCTGTATAAATGGTGGATATGGCCCCCCTGGGGGCTGAGGGGCGGGCCCAATAGGGGAAATATAGCAAATTCTTTAAAATCCTCCTTCTTCTGTAGGAATACAAGGATTTGTTCCATATTTGGTCTGATGCATCCTTGGGTGAAGGGGAACCTATTTTGTATAAATCGTGGGTCTGGTCCCCCAGGGGCCTGAGGGGCGGGGCCCAATAGGGGAAACTTAGCAAATTCTTTAAAATCTTTCTTATTCTGTAGGAATTAAAGGATTTGGTCCATTTTTGGTCTGAAGCATCCTTGGATGAAGGGGAACCAAATTTGTATAAACCGTGGGTCTGGCCCTCCAGGGGCCCTAAGGGCGGGGCCCAATAGGGGAAATAGAGGTAAAACCTTTAAAATCCTTCTACCATAGGGATTAAGGGATTTTATCCTAATTTAGTCTGGTGCATCCTTGGGCCAAGGGGACTCAATTTTGTATAAGCATTGGGTGTGGTCTCCCAGGGGCCCTAAGGGCGGGGCCCAATAGCAGAAATAGAGGTAAAACCTATAAAATCCTTCTTCGACCATTGGGATGATGGATTTTTATCTTTATATAGTCTGGAGCACCCTTGGGCCAAGGGGACTCAATTTTGTATAAACGTTGGGTATGACCCCCTAGGGGCATAGCGGTGGGGCTCTGTTTGAAGTTTGTTCTCGCTCTATCTCAATGTACTTACAGCACCTACCATGGAGTGCTATATCTTTATTTTCATACCAAATATTTTAAACTTATTCAGGTGAGCGATACAGGCCCTGTGGGCCTCTTGTTTAAAATTGTTTCCTTTTGCATACTGTTTTCATATCACAGCGAATGTTTTGCTGAAGTTTTAATAGTTTTCTATAGGTTTATAACTTATGGAACTACTTAAGACACATATACAAGCTCTCTGTTCCAATATAAAGATATCAAAGATAGGGTACAAGTATGACATCACGTTATGTTAACAGGATACAACTTTTCTTTCCAAAACTTTCGGAAAAATAAAAATTATGCAATCTCAATGTAAGAGAAAAACATGTTTTATTAGACTGTCTCACCCAGTTAACTGAGTCCGTGTTATAGGGTCTAGCTGTGCGTTCCTCGAGTTCATTATGCTGGTTACATTTCTGTATTGGCCTATGACGTATTTATCATTCTGGTCAATCCAAACAACGAAACGTTGATGACATTAATGACATTAACATGTAAGACAGTATCATATAGTCTGTTATTCAGACTTCGGTTTGCACAAGCTACCTTTGCTGATGTTGCTAAATAACAAGAAACGTCTTTTGAAATTGTTAAAAGGTTAAGGGTACTATCAAATTCATAAGTTAAACACTTCACGTATTCCTTTAATCTGTTTATTCATAAATCAAAGGGTTTTACGCACGTTGTCCCTCTGTTTTACGATTTTGATTTCCAACGTTTTGGCTCCTACCATCACCGATGAGTCCTAGACGGACGGAACAGCTGCATGATGCAATGTAGTTCAATTTTGACAAACTGTATCAATTACCAAATTTTAAAGGTGCAATCATTTGGTAGTGTCTGTGTTACATTTATCTTTTAAGATTTATTGTCAATGTCATGAATTAATCCTTACACACTTCATCTTACGGTGCATCTCCCATTAATTGATGTGCGAAGTTAAAATAATTGAAAACTCAAAAAAAAAAAAGGAAAAAAAATGATGATTATAAAAATAAAAACGGGGGTCGGATTGGGGGCCTACCCGATACCAGACCTACACGTGATTCTGTTGTAACCAAACAATTATACATCTATGACTCGGCAATAGAAGTGAAAAAACTAATTTGCTTTTTCAATGGTCTTTATAAAAGTGGGAAAATGTGACGTCAGTCGGTTGTTTTCATTTTGACATCATAATATCTACCACGAATATAGAAAGTTAATAGATTTGATCATTCGATTGGAGGTGAAATTTGGGAATTTCAATTCGAAGGGGATGTTAAGTTTCCCGAAGGATCAGATTATATCATATCACCCCAAAGGGCTTATAGGTTCCTGTTCTCTTATCCTTTTGACCATGTATTATAATTCAATGTATCATTGAATGTTGGCGTTTAAGAATAAATACATAGTAGACCTTGGCTTTATGCGTTGTTGATATGAAGAATATCTTACGCAGGGAGAACTGTGGATACAACTGTCCAGGGTGAGAGAAACAAGAATCCTACAGCCTCGTGTGACTGTTTCCTCACCCGACTTAATCACAATTAAAGATAAGAAATGGAAGTAACATAAACGATAGGAATTCTGCAATTTAAAATGACTATCATAAGATGGAAAGTGTCACAATTGTGCAATTAATTTTCGAAATATCACATTAAAAACAAATTGCCTGATCTGTATTTCTGCTGACTTCGTTTGTTACTGATTCTTTACCAAGTTTGTCAATATTGTATGGTCGCCCATGGCAACGACTGCACCTAGTATATTTATATAGTTGCCGTTATGACAATAGTACATCAAAACTTGTTCATACATTGTTTGCTATTTTAGAGAATTACTTTTCAAATATTTACCAATTTATTTATTATCTTATTTATTTAAGTGTATGGATGTTAAACATTATTTTACGTTTTTGAGTCTACTTCTTTTATTATTTGACAGTATTCATTCCACTGTTTCTGATAGGTAGATATACGTTTCACCCCGGTTACATCTCTGCTCAGCCCCTTAATGTTTATTATGTTATATATAAACTGTATCAGATGCCCTGTTGGTCCATACATCATCCTGACATTCTGTTATAAAGGCTATGCATAATTTTACAATATAAAACGTATCACATCTATTTGATCCGACGGACCATAATGCTGTGTCGTCTTGTAGGTTTACACACGAGAACATTTTCTGAATGGCAAGTACAATGATCAGGTGCTGTTAAATGATAATATCTAAACGAGATCTCATCAACATAAAAAAATAGATTTTGTAAATATATATGCTGAGATGTTAGGCTTGCTGTATCAAAATAATATTCAGCACTTTTATTTTGAAAGAGGAGTGGAGAGAAAAAGAAAATAGATACATTCCGGTTTCCATTGTAACCCTTGATACAAATATGATTAATAAAGGTATCAATGCGGCTGATATGTCGAAAATATAAATTTAGAGAAAATATACAATTTGAGAAAATATACACTCAGCGGAAATATTCATTTAGTGAAAATATACATGAGAGCGCTGTTGCTGAACAGAGTTTAAAATTTCTTTTCGTAAGTGATATATGAATACCATTTCCCAGTGCACAGCTGCAGTTAAAAGATATAATTAATAAATGCATTACATGTCGTGTAGAAACAAATTTGTATCCTTATTTTTTATCATGTAAGCATATTTAAAATGTCAGCTTCACATTACGTTTTTTCTTGCTTTTCTACCAAGTAATTGTGATCGAGGATAAAGAGAAACGTGAGTTATACAGAATACATTTGTTTTAAACTTAGGAGATGCTGTTTAATTTTTACATGTTAAACGTCAACATTATTTATCGCCTTTCTGTCTTTTCAGCCACGGATATACTATTTACATATCCGGTCTGATGTTAAGTTCCGGTTCTCTACTACCTTGATCACTAGCAAGGTCATAAACCCCAGCACGGTTGCCCAGGAAACAACATTCCACGTCACACTTCCGGATGAGGCATTCATCACAAACTTCCAAATGTAAGGCAGTGGTAATTTATACAAAACAGTTGTTTGTTATTAGTGGTAATTTATACAAAACAGTTATTTGTTATTAGTGGTAATTTATACAAAACTGTTGTTTGTTATCATATCAAAGGGAAATACACGAAATTGAGTGTTGTCAATAATGTATATGGCAGGCTATTCTTTGGTATCAGAGACAGAAATAATCCTGCTCTTATCAAAAGCTTGTACATAATAGTCAAATGTACGTCATATGAGCCGAATATTGTTAGAATCGTAACTGGGTCGTAATGTGCGATATTACATCCGTCGTTACAGTAATTTATTAATAAAACTTCTTTTTATGTAAGTATGTCAAGAATAATTATGCTATAAATTGTAATTTACTACGAGAATAAAACATGGAAAACTGATGATTCAGCATCAAACATGAATATACACTGACACACTTCATGTGTGCAAATTGCTGCAACACACCAATCCCGTTTTACAGTTCAAGCAAATTGCTTTAATGCGATTGGTGTTAATACTTGCATGGTAGTTTTTGTGTGCCATCAGATAACGCAACGAGTTTTTTTGGTGTTTTGCTTTCAAGAGAAAAACTCGAATTGGAAGGTTATCGCGTGACTCAAAAACCGAAACTGATAAAGGGTGGTATAGGTGACGGATAAATTGTATTTATAAACCTGTTTATTAAAAACGAGGCATTGTCGAGCTTTTGACACTTAAAAGCCGTATACCAAAAGGTTGATTGTTTTTCTTTCGACATCAAACAATGGTGATCTATTATTACCATTGAAATACAGCCTTCATATTGTATTTTGTTCATTTGATCCTGACGTCATATCCTTGATGTCCTGTAACACTTTCCACCTGTCCGGGTTTATGGCTAAATTGCCATAGTTCAGATAAGGTTCAAACGTTAAGAAATGTATGCATACGGTGTTCCTCCAAGTAAAGTTTCATTGGCTTACAGACACAACGTCTGAAGGACATGTGAACCTTTGGCGATGGTTACTTATACTGTCTATACAAGGCACACGACAGTTAATAATGCAACACAAAAAACATTTTCTTATCTATTAAAAATGCATTAACACCTATGAATATATATAGTTTGTGCGGTTTGCTTCAAGCAATAAAATAACAAATATTTGATGACATCTAAGTAAACAAGATGAAAATGTGTCAAACTTAATGGTGATGTCAAGGCAAGCGATAAAGAGAATCTCTATTATACAGATAGCGATGTACATAAATTCTTCTTTTATTGTCCATTTGACGTTATTTCATTCTTCGAATTCTGAGTTATCGCATTCTGCAATTCCATGCAGCATTTCACACTTAATTGACAAAAACTATTGATACTGAATTGATTAATAGGAAAACAACACAACAGGTAATTAACAACGCTTGTCTGAATTTTAAATGCAATAACTACACGAGGAATTGCATACAAGTCATTATGTGAATACAAATGGGAAAGACATTTTTAATTTGTCGTTTATATGTTCATGTTTATATTTGGCAGAATTTTTAGTTGAATGTATGGATTCAGCGGTTTTTTCATTGTATATTATATACAGATATAGGACGATCGTCATACAAGCATTGGTTTACATTACTGCAAGGTAGAGCTAGTTAACAGCTTGCTCCTATGCGATGATATCATATTCATTTTTTTTGAGTTTGAAATGGTTTGCCGATTCATATCTAAGAAAGTTTAAAAACCTACTTTCATTTTTCAGAATTGTTAATAGAGTCTGTTAGCGTCTTATGTGGTAGATTGTGCTCTAAAATATAAATATATGCGATATAAAATTCATTACTAATACGGTACTGTATGTAGTTGTACCTTCGGCTCATATATTTGAATAGTCCCTTTCATGAAAGTACGTTATTGTAAGGAAAATAGTGGCTAACAAATTAAACCTACAGTGTAATTGTTGCAGGTGGTTAGGATTTAGCGCCGGAAGCAACAAATCATAGAAAATGACACAAATATATAAACACACAGTAATATTTCATAAACTGTCCAGTTCGCGTATGAATACGTCAGTAAATAAATGCGTGAAGTAGTCCTTTTTATATATTGTTTTCACCTTTGAAATATGTGCATCCAAACGAATTATACTTAATTCCCAATTTGTATGCATTAGTTTTTAAAATTCCTATTATCTCAAGCTCTATGCTTCATTACGAAAAAGGACAGTAACACCTCTGTAGAACTGTGAAATTAGGCAATGAGTATACACACACCAGTGTTAGATCATAATCTCACATAACAATGCGGTCTAATGGGCTCGCATAGGAATACAGAGACACTTCTATAAACATAGTTGGCTGCTATAGATAGCCTTCCTGCCAATTAGTAATGGCAGGAAGAGCTCGTATAGAAGATCGTCCTTGTTAAGCTGTAAAAGCAATCCTTGTTGATGGCAGGAACCAGATGTGGTGTCGAAAACGCTTAACCATTTGGCAGTACCTCGTCTTGATTTTTACTGGGGACATTGTGTTTTCCTTTTTGTTATACTTAGGGGATTGGTGACGTCAGAAATATTTTAAGTGAGGCAGAATTGCATTTACATTTCAAGGTCGAGCTATTGTTCGTGACGTCATGAATATTGATTTCATGACGTATCGGGGTCAGTCGCCTACCGCGCTTCATATGAAAATGAGAAAAAAAATGAGGATGAACATATCATTTTATAACTCCACATGTGTATGGCTTTCCAGTGTATCACAGGAGTGGGGTAGCAAAAGTCTGCCGCTTATAAAAAAAATATGATAATCTGTATACAAGTAATTGAAGGAGTTCAGGTATTGATGAAATAATTTAAGCATCTAAAATTGATAGAACTTAAACTTTCCAATGTAAATTTAATATCATGGATGAAAGGTCGCGTACCATATAATGACATTTCAATCAGTGAAAACACAGTATAACTAAAAACGTCATCATTATTTAAATTAAGCACATATTAGCTGAAGGCTCCCACACTTTTTAATGCTTAACTACTCACTTTATCTTCACAGGAAGATCGATGGACGACTTTATCCAGGCCAGATAGATGAAAAGACCAGCGCTGATACAAAATACCAAAGGTCAAAGAGTAAAGGTCAAAGTGCAGGCCAAGTTCGACATAGGTGGCTATTTATTCTGTTTTATTAAGGCACATGCTTAATGATATTCTTCTAAATTATTGCATGACGTCATGTATGCGGTAGGAAAACATGGAACAAACGAGCGAGTTTAGATCAAAATGATGCTAAAGAAGATGTAACTATAACATATAGCATTATCCATAATTGACGTTTCATTCGAAATAGAAATAACAAAACAAAAATTGAAATTACACACTTGACCGGGCAAGATTCCTAAATGTAACTCGTGAATGTTAAAATGATTTTAACTGTTTGTAAGTTTGTAAGGTTTTATAAGTAAGACTGCACACTATGCAAGCCGGCAGTAGGCCGTGTAATACACTGATAGATTAGGTATGTGACCCCACACGACTCTACAGCACACACAGGCTGCACTGTAAATCTATAGTGTTGTGATAATAAATAAATGGGAAGGAAATGTTACATAATATTCACAATCAATTCTTCCACCAAGTGGTAATGAGCTAGAAATTATGAAAAATTGAACTATTATTTTTTTAGTATTTTTTAGATATTCTCAGGCGTTATGTAAACACGCCTACAGCTTAAGATATTGTAAAGACATCATTGATTTCATTTCCCAGCTTTGAAGCACGTGCCAACACTACATAGAATTACTTTGAATGCACTTTGCTAAAAATAGGTAATGATTAGCTACATGTATATTAAGGGATGCATTATGGTATAAACAAACATGCATAATGATTGTCCCAGCATGTGCGTCCATTATATAGTGCAAAGATTCGTATGGGTATAGGTGAACACTTCAACGAATCATAAGCTGTAGGGCGAAAGAACCTTTCTTTCCTTTCTTATTTTCTAAATGTTATAACATTTACGTTCCATCCACTTTTTTGTAACATTCATCATCTCATGTCAGTTGAGGTTTGCTGTCAAATTGCTGTTGGAATTTCTGTTTAATGAATTTTCCTTGATATTTTCTTTTAGAAAAGGAAATCAATGGTGTTTCGTTATGCACTTCTCTTATTCTGGAACTAATAATATATTTCGTTTTCTTTTCTGCATAATCTTCTCCTTCATATACATCATTTGTACCCATTTGATATGAATGACATAACGAATGCGAAAGAACATGTATACTCTCTATTGCTAAAAAAGGAAACTTGGACTATAACTATGTAAAAGAAAGTTCAAAACAATACTTTTTGCTGTTTACAAATATTTCATGCCAATGTCTAAATCACAACAAAAAAAGCGAAAATAAACCTAAATCGAATAACAATATATCTACAGTAATTAGTCACTACGTTGTCAATTTTAGTCATTTGTAACAATCTTGTCTACGACATCGTTTGGCAGGCCACGAGAAACAAATAAGTTTCAAGTTGATGTCAATATTGCGGGACTAAACAGCGTGACCTTTAATCTGACCTATCAGAACCTCTTACGCCGTAACCATGGAACCTACGAGCACGTGATATACATTGATCCCGGTCAGGTGGTAGATGACCTCAGAATAGATGTAGCCATACAGGAATCACGTGCCATAACTTATATCAAAGTGCCGCCTCTGAGAAATGACACCATTGAGGATTTTACCGAAGGAGGTAAGGTTCCTCATCCAAAAAGAGCATTTTTCTTTATCCGTTAATGTAACACCGTTTAGCAGTTTATTCTATTTATACCCATCCGTTGCTCTAACGATCAGAAGTTATGTAGAAGTTACTGTATTAAAAAATACAATTGTTAAGTATAATAAGCCTTACTTGACAATGTAGAATGGCATTGTCTCTAACCGAACCTGTAGCATAATTGACCATCTGCCTATTATTTAATGGTAGACAGTCCATCATGTTCCCCATATACTAAACAATGTATTGATAATAGAAGCTATAGGCCTTACAAAAGGCATGGCAGTTAGAATATTGTGAATCATGTTAAAGAGAATGTTTTTTCTTTAGGATGTGTTCTCTTATGAATACATGAATTTGTCATTAAATTATTTTAAAATATTGTGTGTTCATATTAATGATTTAAAAAGAACATATACACAAACATATGTCCTCCCTACTACATGCATACTTAGCTATATACCCCCCTTCCGTACACCCATCTCTATTTACCATGTACCAACGTATAACTAACTATACGAGCACACTATAGGTCTAGAGATGTGTTTTACTGCAATCCCAAATGCACGTTTATTTTTCCCACATTACTTATTCTTAATCTGTGCACTATAATGTTTCGCACTCTTCTTCATGTTTGTAGCTAGGAACGAGCTGGTGTCGATCGACCGACCGACACGAGAAACTGCCCGGATACACTACTACCCCAGTGCTGTTGACCAGCGACGTGCGTCAGCTCGAGGGCTATCTGGTCTCTTCAGTGTGGAGTACGACATCGATAGGAACTTTGATGCTGGCGATGTTTTGGTAAATACGTAACTAATAGGGTAACACCATCGTGAGTTACCAGGTGGCTTTGGAGAAATCGTATTTCAAAAATGATTGATCATCAATTAAAAAATGTTTATTTGTTTATTAATTAAATTCTTTTTCATTGCCAATGCTAGATTACGTAGTACAAGATAAAGGTTTCTGTTTGTATTTCAATTAGTGTTACTATTTTATTGATCAGCAGAATGTAATCCTAACAGAAGAAATATAAACTGTTAAAATTCTTATTAAAGCGGACTCAACGTTTATTGTATTGCTAAATTATAACAGATTAAAGCATTGAAGAATTAGCGCACTCAAAATATATACGAATACAAAACAATGTACTGGAACTTAAAAGCGCCATTAAATACCGCTAAAATAAGTTCCCATACAGTATATAAGATTATGAGATAAAAAAGATATTAATATATAGGTATTCATATGTCTGAACAGCAAGAAAAGCAAAACCGTTTCTATTAAAGACATTATTCTTAGAGTGATATCAACACAATTGAAGAAAACGCATTAATAAGTAATTTCACAATTAACTTAAGAATCTTTCTTTTTATTTCTCCTGAGAATATCAACCTCAAATTCCATATACATTATCTGATTTATCTTTCTTTTCTTTTTATGTTGTGATATAAGGTTGTGAACGGTTTCTTCGTCCATTACTTTGCACCCACTGGTATGGACCCTATCCCAAAGGACATCCTGTTTGTTTTGGATACCAGTTCTTCCATGTTCGGAACAAAAATTGCACAGCTTCGTGACGCCATGCATATCATTCTCAATGATCTTCACGAAGCTGATAGATTCAACATCATCAAATTTAGCACGACAACTACTTTCTGGAGACCGGGGAAGGTTATATCAGCAACCCGCCAGAACATCGCTGAGGCGGAGGGATATGTGACAACAATGACATCTGCTGGCTGTATGTTCACATTTTTATATAATCGTTTTTGCAAAATCATTGAATCACAATTACTAAGATGAACGAGCAGTGTTAGTTTATCTTTTTTTTTGGAATACCTGCCTTTTCAAAATCAAATAACACAATATAATTCATTGTATAAAGATATTTAGTTTTAAATTATCTTCCAGGGACAAATATTAACGAAGCAATGACGTATGGGATAGATTTCCTAAATAGCATCGGTGACGACACAGGCCGTGTAAAGCTGATGGTTTTCCTAACGGACGGATCACCGACCAAGGGTGAAGAGAATACCGACATTATACTTGAAAACGTCAAAACAAGAAATATCAGACACATCGCTATCTTCACTCTTGCGTTCGGAGAGGACGCAGACTATGAGTTCGTGAAGAAAGTTGCACTTCAGAACGACGGAGTGGCGAGAAAAATTTACGAGGAATCTGATGCGGTACTTCAGATCAGTGGATTTTATGCAGAAATTTCTCGGGCGGCTTTGAAAAATGTAACATTTAGATACTTAAATAGTTCGACAAACCTACAGAACGTAACAAAGAATTCTTTTAATTCTTTCTTTTCTGATTCTGAATTAGTTGTAGCTGGTCGTATAAAAAACACTGATATGAAAAGATTGAGTCTTTCGGTGGAAGGCAATGGTGTACAAGGGGACATATCACTAGCTCTTTCTGCCAGCATACTCGATCATTCCACTCCCGAACTGTTTCCAAGTCTGACAAGGCCAGAGGATTTCGAGAAGATTACAGAGAGGATCTGGGCATACGTCACAATCAAACAGTTGTTGGACGAGGCTGTTGGTGAACTCAACTCCACCGCCGTACAGAGGGAAAATGTCAGACAAAAGATCATAGCTATGTCAATGAAGGTAACCCTTTTATTAGATTACTTTCGACGCAACCTCTCTCGTGATTCATCTTTTTTTTTTAATCTTTGTAATATTAAATAAAAGGTATTATTTTTGCTGAGTACATAAATATATGATTATAAAATTTTAACCAAAAAATCTTACTTATCTTTTTTAAAATAATATCCCAACAAGGCTTGATAATAATCAATACTAGGGTTCGCCTGAAGTTGAAATCTCTCCGATTTTCTCACACATTTATGTGGAGACTCAAGTTCCAATTCAAATGGAGATGGATCCAAAGAGTCTGTGATGTAATTTTGTATCATATTTCTTTGGCTGATCCTACTAGTTATATAAGAAATTGTTACTTAGTTCGACATGGGACTTACTGCATCACACAGTTTCTCAGATGTGTTGACGGTCATTATCTACATGAAGCTACGAGTCCGTAGTTTTGTTTTTTATGTATTGCTTAAATCTCACTGCATTAGTTACGGTACAATATGCTCTTGGGGGAAACATTGCGAATTGGCAAGCTTTGGCCTTTGCATTATGCAACTTCAAATAACGTTAAGATAAGGTATTATGATGATACTTTTTATGCGCAACAAGTTTATGAGATTATCTTTGGGGTAACTTCAAAACCTACCTTAATAAACAAAACCGTTTTGGTGATTTAATTTGAAAAAAATGACGTTAATAAGCACCATGTTTTACGAAAATGTTAAGCACTACATCTCTGACGCTATACCTCGTTCGTTGTTTTGCATTAACTAGCTTTCGCTTTATTCCGTTTTTCAATAATATTTGATTATTTTTGTGACCTCCCACTAAGTTTTCTAGATAGTGTGTTATCACTCCTTGGTCATGCTTTATATACACATGTTAATGCTCAATATATCATATTCATCGAAACAAGCCCTATCTTGGATCTTGGTACAGACCAAAACATTCTTGGCCGGGCGAACAGGTAACTGATTAAAAGAATTACATCTCAAAATAAAACATCAAACGCATTTTGGATAGCAGGTTAACTTGATGCACGGTCTCTCTCGCAGCTCCATCCAACGTTATACCCTATGATTTTATACTTTAATTGTTTCCACTCTCACATGCTGTAAATACATCAACTACAATGATTTTCATAGGGTGAGTTCCCGTTTTCTATTTGAAAAAGAATATTTAATTGACTGTTACAGTACCACTTTGTGACCCCCCTGACGTCACTGGTGGTCATAAAGCCGGATCAAAGAGAAGTCGGCAATTTGCAGGAAGGCGAGGATGCTGAACGTAAGACATTTATATGGGACATTTACAAATTGATATAGATGATAGTACATTTTTGCTCATTACAGTATACATATATTTGAATTTTTGCTAACATGAAATATCGTAAACTCGCTTTCGTTTCCGGTATTTAATGAATATGTTAAACTACGATATTACCCAACAGATACAGATTACATTTCTTTGTGTACTATAGAACCAAAGTCCTGAATATAATGCATGATTCAAATTATCAATGATTACTACTTGTTGTTGACAAATTATTATTGTTATTATTCTTTTTTTTAAATTAAAGCAATATCATCGACAATATTTATCACTGTATTGACAGGACTGTTCCATTATTGTCGACCTATTGTTTACTGTGATGTTACTTAGTTGAATTAACGTGTAAAGCAACAGGATTTGATCATGTTTGTAATGAATTCCACCAAGGTAGTAACTGGCCTTTTGACAGGAAATGATGTCATATAGTAGACAGCGCCTATATTTCCTTGGACATATTCTCGTCTTTGACAAGTATATGCGAACTGGATTTATGTTATCTGGGTTCCTCAATTCATCTTTGGTGTGCAGGAAGTTAAATAATTGGTGATCTATAATAATGCAGTGATATAAAAACCTGTATAAAGTTTCATATCTTTTGATATTAGAACGCATAGGAATTCACAAAAGACGCCTGATTAACATGGATGTCGCTGGCGACTAAAATTGTGCGATAAAAGAGCAAAAAAATGAGAACTTTTCAGAAATTATATGAATTGTAACTTTAGAAATCTACAAATAAGTTATATTTAACAAATAACTTACATGAATTCCTCATTGACAGTTGTACTGAAACAAGGTAAATATTCCAACTCAGGTTGGCATGGAATGTGGTATAAATATTAGTTTGTTGTGTTTTATTTCATTGTTTAATTCAATTAAATGTAATGTGAAGTTGGAAGTTGCTACTATTATGACTAATCGAGCACACTAAAGATACTTTGTGTGTCTTAATGGTCACTGACCTAGATACATCGTGCGACACTTTTTAACAGTAGTGTTGATAGTTGTTGCTTTATTTTGTGTGATATTTAACAAAATGCATGGTCTGTTTTGTGCCTAGATTATTATAGATAGTGACGCATGTGTTGATGTTGATTTGCATATAAAGTGTATTTGACTAATAATAATCTGAGTTGTGTTTATTAATATTTTGTTGAATGCTGAGTGTTTCATGAAACTGTTATAACAAAAGAATTGATGACGTTAAAAGACTTAGCTAACCATGCATATTATAGAGTAGTTTTATTCAATTTGACGCATGCGCATGTAGTAGTTTAAATTAAAATCTATGTCTGTTCGCTATGCTTGAAGAGTAGGATAATTGAAATGCATCTGGCTTCATCGCGTACTGTTGTCTTTTAATTGGCCACTTTTGATAAATCATCGCAGCTATATTCATAGATTTTTATTTTAAGTAGAATATCAATTATTTCTAGACGAATCCAGGTAAAAAATAAAATCTAGACATACTGTAAAAATGGAAGTGTTCGCGGTATGGAAATGTTCACGTTTTTATATGGAGTAAGTAAATAAAAAAAAAACGCACGCGAATATTCGTTCGGTAAATAATATAGATTAGAGATATTTAGAATATAAAAATTATAAAACTACTGGCATTGTGAAAATTTACGCATCGCAAACAGTCACTAAAGAGTCATAACGCTGACAGTTCCACCTGCATTTTTTTCCGCTTTTATAGACATTAGTTTTCATATTTTCACTTGTTCTTCACTTTCGTGTAAAATATAATCATAATCACTTCACTCAATAAAATATTATCGCAATCATCTAGAATAAATAGATATCAACAGACATATCTAAGTTAATGACTGATCGTTACAATAATGATGTATGAATTCAATAATTATACCCATATATTGTATGTTCTTGTATTACCTCACTGATACTATATATACTTTGATCAGTTGCACGTGACATGCCATCCCCTACACCTGATCCATTTCCTGGATATGCTTGGAGAGGGCGGCGGCCAGGAGCACTACTTACCGGAGAAGGGAAGAGTACGGCAGGGGGAGGTAAGCGTATAAACAGCTGTTAAAAACACAGTCGTACACAAAAACACAGCCGTACACAAAAACACAGCCGTACACAAAAATACAATTCAGAGGGAGGAAAACGGCGTGTTAATCACTACATGTTGTTTTTGGTATCAAACATCAGTTTTCGGTTGCATTTAATATTTAGCGTAGATTGTCTATTTCTTATTGCTGGTACGGTAAACATCGATGCATTTCATATTTGATGTAAATATTTTGCATTATTCTGAAAAATGCTTGACTGAAATTACTTAAATTCGAAACGGAACAGTGAATACTAGAAAAACAAGTAATTGATGAATACTGCCTTTTATCAAACTTCTGTAATTTATCATAAGTGTTCATTACACATTCATCAAGTCTCCTTCAATATCTCTGTTAATACCATTTTATAATTTGTACTTCAAACAGGTGGAGGTGATCCCCATTTCATGATTCGCGTACAGGGATTGTCTCATCCAGTGTGTTTTGATATGATAGCAGAGCCTGGGAATATCCTACGACTACTAAAGGATCCGAATAAAGGTAATACCAACATGTCCTCCAAAACAGCAACAACAACAACAACAACAAAAGCAACAACAACAAAAGTGCCCCTCCCATTTTCGTTAGATATAAAGGTTGATATCTTAAACTCTGGATAAAGGTAGCACTTTAATCAGACGATTAATAGAAAATTACCGTTCGCGATGTAGACAATAGTGATTGTTGTATTTAATAAACTAGATCAGAAGTAATGCTAATCTAATTAGCACACCAACAGCTGCCGCGTCTCTGTTATAGTGCCAACAGGGGATTCTTCCTTACTTTGTCTGTAGATGGGGAGCTTTTATCTATAATGCACTAGGTATACAGACTTAATGTCTAGTCTGGATCACACGTAATTAGCCTTGGTGTTGCTATATAGGTATGGCCTTCAGTTTGGTGCACGAAGAACTCTTCAAGAAACGTAAATGTCTAATTTCAGAAATCATATAATAAGCTAAATATATATCGTTCATACAAGCACTGTTCATTCGCAGTTCTCTAACCAAAACCGTTGAACTGGTTCCATTTTTCTCTATCATTAGTTCAAGCTTTAAAACATAAACATCGAGTTTATAATCAAATGTACTAATAAATTGTGAAACGAAGAATGACAGAACAACATCAGCAAAGAGATAGATCCAAAATATAGATTAAAAAACTTTCAACTTTAAGAAGATTACTATTTTCCTGATAAATGACTATTTGTCAGTATTACTTTCTCATAACGATGACATTTTAATCATTATGTGTGTGAGCATCTCGTACGCTTAACATGACGAGGTTTAATGGGTGTCAGTAAATAATCTAATGGTGTTAATTAAAGAAGAATATAAAAGATGATAGATTTTGTTCGGGGAAGTGACGTTAATGACGAACCAAAATAAAGTTTCTACAAACATGTTGTAAACAAACGTAGTGATTGCGGTGTTTCGGGTATAATGTTAGATAGGAGCCGACTTTTACATCCTCTTAAGGATGAAATCATGTGTGAAATTGGAAATGTGTACTGATGTACGAGATAAACACTAATTAACGACATATGCGTGTAATTTGCTCAAATACTAAAACAGATGTGCTTGCATACTGAAATGGACTTGTTCACAATCTCCAGTCTCCTCCCTTGGAACGAATGATTCAATGCTAGCCCTTTTATTTTACCTCTTATGTGTATTTATGTCGGAGTTGTGACTGTTTGCAACCTTGCACATAATGTCTTTTCTTTAAGCTAGATTTAAGCATACCTGTTTCCTTAATCATTCTATTTGTGCTTTATGTTAGAGTAAAAAATATATGCTACTTTATACATTCCTGTGATTGATGTTAGAGTTAAGGATATATGCTACTTTATACATTATTCCTGTGATTTACATTAGAGATACAGATATACACATTCTACTTTACACATTATTTCTGTGTTTTATCATAGATATATATATATACTACTTTACACATTATTTATGAGATTTATATTAGAGATAAAGTTATATATATACTACTTTACACATTATTTATGAGATTTATATTAGAGATAAAGTTATATATATACTACTTTACACATTATTTATGAGATTTATATTAGAGATAAAGTTATATATATACTACTTTACACATTATTTATGAGATTTATATTAGAGATAAAGTTATATATATACTACTTTACACATTATTTATGAGATTTATATTAGAGATAAAGTTATATATATA